CCTGTCCGTGCTGGAGAAGGAGCCGGCACGCCGAAGAAAGCGCGCAAAAAGCGGGAATCAAATTGACCACCATGGTGGAGGAGTTGTCCCCCCCATGGGGGAGGACTTGAATGACCCGAAGAAAAGGAACAAGAAGAGAAAGAAAGCGCGCGCTGACTCCGGCCATGGCCGTGCTAGGTCAGCGCCCGACTCCAGCAGAGGACGTTGGTTCGGACAGGAAGTGGGCCATGATCCCAAGGATCGGTCCCTTTCTGACACGTCGGGTATGTCGTCGTCGAGCCACTCATCGAGTGAGTCGGCTCGGCCCGAAGCAGACGCTGGCAGCAGCTCTCGACCAGATCGCAGCTGGAAATCTCCACATGGCAGCGGATACCTTGGCGCAGAGGCTGAAGGCCCTGGAGCTGAGCGCCACGGATGCGTCGTGGAACAGGGCGCAGTTCATAGAGCTGTTGGAGCCCGAAGGCCCGAGCCTCCTGGAGAGAGACGAGGCCGTTCTCGCTTCGAAGGAGTGGGCCGGGGAGCTGCGGATGAAGAAGCTCCAGTCCGGGAAAGGTCTTGGCAAGATCGACACCAAATGCGGCAAAGACAACCAAAAGGGCGATGCGAGGCTGGACCCAAAGGGGGGAAAGGACGCGAAGAAAGGGAAGCATGGAAAGGGGAAAGAGACCGATTAGCTCTTCAGCTTGTGGTCAAGACGGAGGAGCTCTACCATGTTCTGCCGACTGATGATGCGATTCGTGGAGCAGGATCGGCCCCTGGGCCAGGCTCCCCCCATTGGGGCGATATATCGGAAATACTCAATAAAAGCTTTTTTCCCGTCTTCGAGTTAGGAGAGCTGAGAGAAAGTGAAGGAAGGTCTCGACTAGTTATCGAGCAGGTCCCTCCGCTGGCATATCCATGAGGAACTGGAGGAAGGGCAACCAAACCGGGATGCCAAGGAGACACAATGTGAAGTCACTGGCAGGGAAAATTTTTGGGGGATGTGATGATCCGCTTAAGGTCGGCCCAAGGCACTTTAGTGCGGGAGTATCGTAACCCAGAGAAGCTGCCTCCGAGCGCCGAGCTCACCTCACCGTCCGGGGACCGACCGCAGCGTACCAGGCATCTCCTTCTTTTCTACGCAGCGCGGATTTGCGGGCAGGCGGACATCACTGAACACAATGACAAGTGGCGTCGTGTCGTCCAGTATGCCCTCAACTTCGGGTACTGCGCTGGCCCGGGAACGCCGGTCTGTGTCACCCTGAGCCGGACCCCCGCGATCAGCCAGCCAGCTCCAGGCTCTGACGATGATGAGGGTCCAGCTGGGCCTGGCAACTGGCCTGGAGGTCCTCACATGTGCTGCGCAGGAGGATTTGAATTCGGCTTGGCCCAGGCCCAGTTTGACAGCCGTAGTCAACATCACTGAATGCCTCCCGATGGACTTGAAGAGCGCGGGCCATGATTGTGGGCAATGCTTTTTGCCTCTTACGGAGCTCCCCGAAAGTCATTGTGGATGGACGGTCAGGGCAACAGTTCAAGAGTGGCACAAGATAGCGAAGGCCGGTTACGACCGAGGCTTGATGGTTGCCGTGGTTGACCAGGTTGTCCCGGTGGACCACAAAGGCCGCTTTATCATCAACGGGGACGGAACAGTCATGGAGTTGAAGAAGGTCCAGGGAACAGAGATCGAGGCTCAGAGGTTAAATCCAATCCTCTGCCCACTGAGCGATGCTATGCAATTTCTGCATGGACCATGCGACACACTGCCAAATATTGGGCAGTCGACTGCCGTCATGGCTGAAAAAGACAGCTACTCAGTATTGGACTCTGAGTATCGCCAGAGCGCGCGCAGCCTTTTCAGGTTGCCCCTCTCCAGTGCCCGGCCTTTCACCTCTGCCGAAAAGGTGAAGGGTGATGCTGTGATGGCATGGACACCAGCTGTCGCCCTCGTACAAACATTTCGTACGAAGCTGCGAGGATGCTTCCTCACGGGGATGGAATGAGGGACCCGTCCCTCTTGAAAGGGGCCGACATATCCGCCCTGCCCCTCGACAACATCAATGAATCTCGCCATCCTCGCAACGAGAGTGCTGAGGAGCAGCAAGGGCGGCCTCTGGTTCCGATTACGAGCCTGGTGAAACAGCCCGGCGAGGTCCTCAAAGGAACCCTCCAAGGAGGTGAACAGGCCGAGGCCAGCTTAGTGTGGACGCACTGGGCCCCGGAGGTATTGACCTTTTCAAAGTTGCGCGGCCAGGGCTTCTGGAGTGGGCGAAATCGTTGGTATGATGGGACACGTCGGCTTAAGGACACCGATTTTCTCTCCGGCTACCCGAACGTCCCAGTGCACGTATCCGTGGCCTTCGGGCAAGCCGATGTGAGCACAAAGAACGCGATTACAAGGCTACTCAAAGCCGTCGGGAGAGGTCGCTCTGCCTCTCTGGACTGCCAGTACGACGTCTTCAGCAGGAGCCTATATGGAAGCAAGACCCCTCTATGGAGGAGACTGGCAGTGGTCCGCGCCTTCCTGTTGCTGCCACGGCGGAGTCCCAGAAGGATGGCTGACCTTAGTGGACAACTCAAGTTTCCTCCACTCGGTCCCGGTGTGTGTAGGTCACCTTGAGTTGCCGAAGCAGGCCCCGAGCTTTGACATGGGGAATCAGAATGAGTATCAAGTGGTGACTGGCCATCGCCCGGGTCCTTCCCCGACGTTTCGATGCCTCTGGCGTGACATTTTGTCATTTCGCTGGAAGGCTCCGCAGCACGGCGACATCCTCGAGCTCTCCGCTTTCATTACGGAGCTTTGTCGCCGCGCCCGTGACCCAAAAGTGCACGGCCGACGCTTTTTCTGCAGTATAGACTCACTTGTCACCTTCTTTTTGCTGGCAATGTGCCGTTCGTCGTCAAGAAGACTCAACAGAGTCTGCCGCCGCCTCACAGCAGTAAGATTGGCCTCCGGCATCATCCCTATGCCGCTCTGGATGTTCAGCAAGTGCAACTACTCCGATGACTCGTCGAGGAAAATGGAACCGGCGCGATCATCTTCGTTTTCTGGGGATCACTGACCGGACGCGCCGATCTTACGAAAAAGCTGTGGCGGCTTTCTTTGAATATATTGGCGCCTTACGGGGCAGGCTACCGCGTACTATGCTCCAGCTGGATGACGACCTGGCTGAGTACATCAACCATTTATTTCAGGAAGGTGACAGTGTTTCTTTTGCAGGATGGGTCCTTAGCGGCCTCAAACGTTTCTACCCAAGGTGCCGTCCGCACCTACAGACTTCTCAACTTTACTTGAGGAGCTGGCAACGAGTACACCTGCCTTGCCGCGCCACGCCGCTGTCTTGGTTGGGGGCGAAGGCCATGGCAGCCGCAGCGGCGCGGGTCAACAGGTATGACCTGGCACTCCTCGTTCTCCTCGGGTTCGCTTTCTTTTTACGGACAATGGAAAATTTTACACTCCGTTTCTCTCACATACGCCTTTTTCCCGACCAAGGAACTGTGGTCATCGCTATTATCAACTCGAAAACTTCAAAAGGCCTGCAACAATCCCTTTCACTGCATGAGCCCTTTCTGGTTCAAGCTCTCCAGTTCTTTTGAGACCGGGTAAGCCCGAGCGTATCAACCATCGCCCATTGTCTTCCGAAGAGAATTCGCCTCTTTGGTCAGGTGCATTGGTCTTCGGGGTGATGACTACCTTCCCTACAACCTCCGCCGGGGAGGAGCCACCTACTTCTACCAACGCCATGGTTTGGGGCGTACGGCCGTCCAAGGCCGCTGGAGAGATCAAACAATTGCCCGGGTGTATGTGGATGATGCAAAAGCCACTTTGGTTCAGTTGCTTCTCCCCACCCACGTTACCACCCTGCAAGTTTCGCTTGCCTCTTTTTGGCGAGTGGCTTTGCCAGGGGCTAGCAGTCTTGGGACAGTTGGCGACTGGTAAGTTGGCAGCTTCCACTCTTTTGTTTGTTACCTTGGCTGAAAGTGCCAGGGTGGGCTGTACAGTTGTGTTTGGCCTGCTACGGCCCTCTTCTGGGAGCACCTATTGTGCTGCCAACTTGATACCTTCCAGCTTCTCTGGGTTAAAAGAATCAGGGAAAGCTGTTTCGCTGAGAATACCCTTAGTGAGTGACTTTGCTTGCAAGGGAGTGACACGCGCCTTTCTCAGTGCCGTTTCCCAAAAGAGGAGTTTTGGCTCACCTCCTCGCCCCCTTCCGCCGCCCTTGGCTGAAAGTGCCAGGGTGAAGGCATTCACGACCTCCTATGGGAGAGTCACCTACGGGTGGTTCACCTACGGGTGGGTTACCTCCTATGGGAGAGTCACTTACGGGTGAGGCTGAGGGCTGTACAGTTGTGTTTGGCCTGCTACGGCCCTCCTCTGGCAGCACCTATCGTGCTGCCAACTTGATGCCTTCCAGCTTCTCTGGGTTAAAAGAATCAGGGAAAGCTGTTTCGCTGAGGAATATCTATATCTTTTTGTCTGCGTCGATTTGCAAATCTATCTCTATATCTTTATTTACAGCTACATGTTATCTTCATCTCTATCCATATATCTGTCTGTCTACCTATCTATCTATCGATCTAGCTACCTCACTATCTGTCTGTCTGTCTGTCTGTCTTCTATCCATGGGTCTTGCCATCCAGCGATTTAGCCATGTAGAGTCTAGCCAGCTAGCTAGCTCATTGTATAGCGACATATCGAAATTCGAATCGAAACCCCTTAGCCAGCACTGACGATCCAATCAATGTTGCTCCAGATTCGCCGAGGTTCGGAGAAGCAGGCCCGTTTGCAGCAGGTTCAGAATCTTGTGTTTAGCCATCCCTCTGGCTTCATGATCTGCCTCGCTAGGCGTCAGTGGCATGGGTGGAGCTGGTGGCATGGGTGGTATGGGTGGCATGGGTCTGGAGGAGCTCTTGAGTCAAATGCTCCTTGCAGGCAACGGTTTTACTGAGGGCGTCTTCGGATAGTTGCATCCATGGCGCTGAGGTTCGGTGGAATGGGTGGCATGGGCGGCATGGGTGGCATGGGAGGTATGGGAGGCCGGCGCCAACGACAGTCCGGACCGCAGAAGGGCGCAGATCTGCACCCCGTCACAACGAAAAACATGTTGAGTTACGAGAATCTGTGTGGTTTACAGTTTACAGTTTACAGGCCTGCGACCTAATAGGCTATGATAAGCCACACTGCTTATTAGCCCAGGCAGCTCGAGGTTACGATCCCCTTCTTGCGCGGATCCTAGAGCAGTTTGCCACATGACGGCCATGTTGCGATGTTCAAGATCGATCGTATAGATTGCATGAGACACTTTATCCTTGTTTAACCAGAACTGCATCGACTACTCCGGTTCATGCAACCCCAACTTTGACCTCTTTTTTTTGCGGTCTGTGTGATACACCCAATGAAAAAATGTTGCTCTCATTTTGCTTACCTCATAGACTCGAACTGCTTGGTGTGACCGAATAGCCAGCCTGAAGATTGTAGACAAGGACTGATCTTCATCAGAAAGACGGCTGCCAGTCCAGACTGAGGACAGCCTGCTTTGGCGGTGAAGTGAAGGTGGACATCAGACGCGAAGAGCCGCCTGGCTGGTGGTTTTGTGCAGCACCGGGCCACTTCTCTCCTTCCTTGCCGCAGGGTGTGCTCCACCTGCTCTGGTACTGGCACCAAACCGGGTGCAAGTCGTCTGCTTAGTGAACTTCAGCTCGCAAGCTGGCGCTGCCTTGCCCTTCAACCAGGCCAGACGCAGTGTCGACAATGTGGTGGGACTGGCACCGTTGCTGTGATGCATTTAACGGAACATCATGAATTGAGCGTCGCAAGCAGTCTTGTCGCATTCATCTGCCTTCGCCTGTCATCCGCCCATCAAGCAAAGCAGTGCGCTCGAGCGGGAAAGCAGGGCCTTCTTTTGAGCTGAGGTGATGCAAGTCATGCAGACTCCCTTCGGTGTCATGCAGACACAGCAGGCCGCTGTCTCAGGGTGGCCTATTTCGACGATATTTCGTCCTTTGTTAGTGCACCGCTGCAAATTAAAAGTGCCGGGCCTCACCCCATGTAAGGTATGCCCGGCATGCAACGGTTCTGGAGTGGACCCTTCCAGCCTTTGCGGTTCCTGCGGGGGCAAGGCCCACGACAGAATGAGCCGTGTCGGTCGAAGCTGGCGCTCTTGGCAGGGCACAACACCAGCTCGGCAGGAAGTCACCGTCAAGGTACGTATACACAACATCAGATTTTTGTTCTAGTAACACTTGGGCTTCAGGTGCCGGCAGGTTGCAATACTGGTCCGTGTCCCAGACTTGTCCGATGCGTAGAGTAGGCAGTTGAAGCGAAGCGCCGGTTCAGAGCACTGGTGTGAAAGGCAACCAACTTCGTCTCAGAGGTGAAGGTGACAAAGGACCGCATCACATCGGCTAGTCGAATGGTTCTTTCTCTCATCGGACAGGATGCGTGACCAGGTGCAAGACACGACCACAGCCAGTGCTAGAGTGGTAGCCGAATCTTGTTGCTTGAGCTCCGTGAGGTCGTCCTGGCTCAAAAATACTAGCCCGCTAGAACAGGCACCCTAAACTCCCTACTTAGATGCTATCAGTGAGGGACAGCAGGAGCACCGCATGCTCAGCTGGCATCGTCTGATTCCGCAGCGTAGCATATCATCCTAGGCAGTATTGCGAGCTGCATGTGGTTTGTGCTTGCTGGCATTGTGCACATCACTGCGGCGAGGATCCAAGAAGGGTCCCTCCGGAGATCTATATATTGGCGTGAAAGTCGAGTGGCCCGGCATGCAAGAGTCGGAACCAGCGGGGTTCGGGACATGCGTGGCCACAAATTAAGGCCTTCCAACGACTTTCAGCGCGATGAGTTTGATATCTATACTGAGAGCACCGTAGACGTGTTTGACGCCATCCTGGGAACCTCCATCAAGGCAGCGGGCATGGTCTGGTTGTACCGTAGGTTTGGAGTGAACCCCTGCCGCGTACGTAGGTGAAGACCATTGATGGAGACGCTGAGATCAAGGTGCCGAAAGGCCCAGACGTGGCGAGACATAGGTCCGCACAGATACGGCCACTCACCGACTCGGGTTGCTCAGGTACTCAGCCTGAAACACGTCTTCGGATCAGAGGCCGAGGTGTGCCAAAGCTCGGCAAGCCTCAGGATCGCTCGGGCCGCCAAGTTTTCAAGGTTGGGGGGTAGTGTTCCAGCAGACATGCGTGGCGATCGCATGACACAAGGCTTGTTGTGCACGTAGGGCACGAGTGTAGACAGGTAATGAGGCATGAACGATTATGAGTGTAAACATTTCGCACTGACACCGTGTAACCTGCAGTCCGCGGGGCTTCGCGGCTCGCAAACACATTTTTTCTTTTGAGGCTGCACATTTGAAGCCCTCTTGATTAGTTCTGTTAGTTCGAAACGAGTCGTGCCGTGGTCGAAGGAGCGCGGTGATCACTACATCACCGTGAAGGTGAACATTCCCAGGAATTTATCCTCAGATGACGAGGAGAAAGTGATGGAACTTCGTGGCAGATCAAACTGAGTGCAATCTTCAAGCGAGCCCGCTTCGGTGACTTGCAGTATATCTGTACATATATATGTATATACATATACATATATATATATATATACATACATATATAGTATATATAGTATATATAGTATATATAGTATATATAGTATATATAGTATATATAGTATATACAGTATATACAGTATATATAGTATATATAGTATATATAGTGTATATAGTATATATAGTATAGATAGTATATATAGTATATATCGTATTTATAGTATATATATATACACACACACACACACACACATATCTTACGTGCACACGAACAGCGAGCTCGCTTCTTTCTATGCTTCTTAATGGCAGGTACCTGCTCTGTGCTGTCAGCAGAAGGCCGATGAGGATATGTCTTAAACTCGATTCACAGATTCACAACCACTGCAGTAGCCGTGTGGATTTTGAGACATGTCTGCCAGAAGCTCGCTCAAGGAGCGAGGCATGTGGCCAAGCTGAGATACAGTCTCCAGAGGTCGCAGCCGTCCGAAAGTATGGGCAACTCTACGTACAGACTGCTGTGATCTTGCAAACGCTGGCCTAGAGGCCGCTGTCACCTTTTCTTGGGCTGGGAGGGCTGTAGAGGACACAAAATGAGCTGTTCACAATACCACATCCCTCTCGGCCCAGTACACAAATCTGCACGTCGAGGCCAGGATTCTTTCAGATTTTCCAGCTGCTACGTCACCAGTCGCCATGGAGTTCGTGCGCTACCATGCGCGTGCTTCGCGAAGCAAACCGCAGATTCTGGCCTGGAGTTTGGCTGTGCTTGCTGATTCTTGAACAGCTCACCGCGCCTGCCCCACTCCCCCAAGCAGCACCGGCAGCACCACCGCCATGAGAACCATGACCTGATCGTAGCTGCGACATCGCTGTTGGGGCCCCTACCACGGCTAGGCTATCATGATGATGGTGATGATGATGATGATGATGATCGTCATCATCATCACCACCATCACCATCATCGTCATGCTCACCGGCACCATCACCGTCATAGTCATCGTCATCGTTATCATCATCGCCATCGCCATCGACATCATCGTCATCATCATCATCATCATCATCGCCATCATCGCCATCGTCCATCCTGGTCCTTCTCATCATCATCGTCATCACCGTAATCATCTGTTGAGTAGCAACATCAACATACACTGGTGTCCGTGCCGACATTGAGCCGAAATTGCCTCTAGCTCAGGCTTCTGAAGGTATTGACTGACCCTTTCTTCGCTTGCTTTCCGTGACGTCTGGTGATCTGCCTGCAATGACAGGGCTTCGAGAAAGGAGAAGATGTCTGGGATGGAGGGCAATCAGCACCTTGATGCAACGAAGTCGCACAGTTTATGTTTCCGGCCTGAGCCACACCGCGCCACCCTCAAGCTAATCTGGCAATCCGACTTGAGAGTCATCGTCTGAACGAGACATTGCACTCGTGATCCCAGGCAAAGACAATGAGGACCGGAACAGAATCGCGCTTCCTGAAAGCACAGCCATCATCCACAGCACAAGAATGGGCTATGGCCTTATCAAGGTGTCTCCTGGAGTAGGAAGGGTGTGTCACATGCTCTGTCGTTCAGGAAAAATTCCGCGTGCGAAAGGATCGTGCTTCGGCTGCACAGCGCCTGTTGAATTGGTGAGGTCGCGCTTGGTAGCTCCCTGCCAGTCATCTCTTTGTTTTCGTAGCACCTTGCAATTTCAGGTTCCGCTGCTCATGAGGTTCCCTGTAGGGCCACGAATTCTTGTGGGCCTGGTACCCCTGTGTATGGCAGTGGATGAGCTTTTGTGGTGGTATGACGCAGTAGCCCCTTTGATGTTGATGTTGCAAAATTGATGCTGAGTTGAGCCTGTTCCATGCATAATTTTCGTCTTGGCTTGGCTTCCATTGGCTTGCTTGTGGCATGCGCAGGTCCAGCTGATGCGGGTTGGGTGAATCCGGTCCTCAGGACAAACGTAAGCACTGGGGTTGGAGCTAGCGTCAAAGTCATGAAGTATGTCCTTTCGCAAGCGTTTTGGCAAAGCCTAGCGTACTCTCCTGCGGCAATGGCTGCTTCAAGGCTGAGCCCTCTCAGCAGTTTGCCCTGTGGCATACGGGCAGGCTTATGCCTTTCAAAAGACCCAACCTGGCATCTAGTCTTCACAGAATCTTTCCAAAGATTGCCAGCATAGACCTCAAACAGTGAAAGAGCACCTAGCATTCTAAGCGGTTCATGTCCACGAACCGAGGCTCCAAAGAACAACCACATGCGGTGGTGGGAGCACTATTGACCCCAGAACATGCACAGCACCATCATGTGCCGGGAACACACGTTTCACCCCCAACGCGTGCATGGAGCTGTGGTGGGAGCACGCTTCTTCATCTGCACGGCGCTGTGGCAGGAGCACGATTTGGGCCGACTGGACTGCGGAGGGCAGACACTGCCGCCGGTGCACATCCCACCATACTCGCGGCACTGTTGTGGCAGCGTGATTTTGATTTCCGCCAAGTAGGAGGTGAATAGCATGGCCCTGCTTAGAACTTTGGCGACTTCGAGTGATTTCAATCCAAAGAGAGCGCTGACTTTGGGCGGAGCGCGACCTCCACCCAAAGGCACAGCAGTAGCAAGAACGGCACTGTGGCAGGAATTTGCTTCATCAAGTTGCGTGCTTCGCGAGGATAGCGATCTAATCTCCCGACCCTGAACGCAGGAACCCCAAGCGTAGTTTGCCACATTGTTTGGGGAAGGATTCATGACGGGCGACGTGAGATCCTTGCGCGTTTGCTGCCAGACCTTGGATAGTGTTGCAATGAACCAACACAAGATCGCACAGATAAAGTTGCGAAGCAAGCGAGGAGTACAATACCTAGTTCAGCCGGTTAGGAATTAGCACGCGGCGCTCCCAGACTGCAAAGCCGGGAACGGGCCCAATGAGCTCGCATTCCCGATGTACATCACTGGTGCGGCTCTCGCCCAGGCCTGCTGGGAGCAGGCTTCCAGGCGCCCGTGCACACGGTGCCGATCATCCCGTACCTGCAGACGGAGCCGCCCCCAATGCGCAGTGCTCAGCCAGATGTGAGTGGAAAAGGAGTTGGACGACGAGCTGGGTAAGACCCTGGAGCCTGACAAGCCAGAGCCGAAGGAGGCGCCAGCATGTCGGTTTTGGAGTTCCATACCCTCCTGGTCCTGGCCATCTTTCCCTGACAAGAATTTAGAATGGAGTCGGTAGTGTTCGCCATCATGGAATTTGGGTTGCGGAGAAGGCCTCTACACGACACGCAGGGTAGTGCAAGTCTTGCCGCTAGCTTTCTCGAATATGTATTGCACAGAACATGCGGAGCCAGGCCAGTGGCATAGATCCCAGCGGCAGGGCCCTTAATACGGCAGATAGCTGAAATGTCATGGATGCCCCCCTATGTCCCCCTCAGGCAAGGATGTGCCCGGGCCTCAGTTGAGGCCTAGACCTCGGGCTAGGAAGGCCCCTTGGGGAAGGAAAGAGACCATGTCAAAGTATAGTCTTCCTGAAGTTTCTTGCGACTGAGGTCCCAGATATCGCTGGTTTTCCCCGAACTCGCAAGGGACTTATTTGGCAGCAGAGTTTTGCAGAGATGCGCTGTCCGGCTTGGATGTCGTCTCGCTTGGTTTCATGAGCTCAATCATTACGTCGTCTGCCGTGAGTGCAAACCAGACATCTGGAAAGTCTTGCAAGGAGGATGATTACGTCCTTCTCCCGGATGTGGTGGGAGACTGAGGGGCGACTTTCAAGCGCGTTTTCAATCGGCGATGTTTCGTCTAAGCCTCGTTGGCCACGACCGCTGGAAAACTGAAGGTTATTCGGTTGCGGAATATTGATGAGAACAAGGATGAAGGGTTCTCACCTCAGCGTTCTTGCTGGATGCAATTCATGAATCATGCTACGGCACCCACCCTTCACCAGGATTGCATGCCTCTCACTTCCTTACAGCGGGAGCAAGTTGCCGAAGGAGGTGTCGAAGATGATGCAGCAGGCACGGGTGATGCTGAGCATTCACGAATACAGAAGACTTGATAGTGGGCGTCCTCATCTGACTGAATGCGGCTATTGCTGATCGGGGGTGGCCCTGACGATCGTCATGTTGTTGCTATTGTTGCTGTTGCTGTTGCTCTTGCTGCTGCTGCTGCTGCTGTTGCTGTTGCTGTTGCCGGTGTTGCTGTTATTGCTAGCAGTAGTAGTGGTAGTCGTCGTCGTCGTCGTCGTAGTTGTCGTAGTAGCAGCAGCAGCGGCGGCAGCAGCAGCAGCAGTAGTAGCAGCAGCAGCAGTAGTAGTCGTAGTAGTAGGAGGAGAAGGAGCAATAGCAGCAGCAGCAGTACGCGTGAAGACTGCCCTTTGCCAACATCATCTCTGTGCCCTGCCTTCTCAAGCCTCATGCACCGGCATCATCTGGTCATCACCCTCAAGATTTAGGGTTTTGGGTTTGCAGTTTATGAGCCACTATCTCCATTTAGGGTTTTGTGTTACTCAACCGACATCTCCTTTAAGGGTTTAGGGCTTCTCGCCGAACATCTTCCTCCGTCGTTTTGGATATTTCGGGGTTCTCAACCAACATCTCGTTTTGGGGCTTGTGGTTTGGCAACAAATATCTCCTATTTTAGGGTTTGAAGTTTGTCTACCAGCATCGGCTTTCACCGTTCTGAGTTTCGCAACCAGCATCTTCGTTTAGGGTTTTGGGTTTCTCAACCAACATCTTTTCTGCTCCATTTAAATTTATGGTTTAGGGTTTTCCAGGTTGCATTCGTTTAGGGTTTAATAAAGGACCGACATATCCTTCTATGGTTCTGCGGTTGGCCACCAGCATCTCCTTTAGGTTTTTGCTTATTTGTCGCTGTGAGCGACAGCGCCTCGCACTTCACCACCGTTGCCTGCCCAATTGGAGTGTGGTGCGGATGCACCTTTGCTTCACCTTGGTTTGCCTCTTTCTGCTGTTCGTTCTACCTAGGTGGCACCAGTTTTGATTTTTCGCCTTCGCTTCATGCCGGTTTGACCTTACATTTACTTTTGTTCTGCCTTTTGAAGACCTCGGCTTCCAGGTCGTGTCGCCTTGGATGTACCTTTGTTCGCTTTTCTGTTCGGCTTTTAACCACATATGAGAAACCCTGCCAATGCTAGGCTTCGGTAGCGTGCCCACCATAGTGAAGATTCTTGTGCTGTGCCGTGCTTCCCCCACTTTCACTCCGGACTTGTCCAAGTTGTGCCCGCATGAGTCCACCGCAATCCGCGCTAGGCGTTGCGAACGCGAGACGTCATACAGAACTACGAGCCAGGCAGTTGGTGCTTGATTTTTGTCAGCGTTAGTCCATCAACATGTCTCCTCTCTTGGGCTCAATCTGTTTTGCAGATGCAAACGACAATCAGCGACTTGCACTTACAACTTCTGCGTGCTGCTTAATTTCCAGCGCCTGCCACAATATACGAGGGAGTCATCGGGATTCATTGGGGAAGTTGGTTGCTGAGGACAAGGTGGAGGTCATTGTCCACAACAAGGAGACCCATTGGGTGTACGGCCGCAAGGCTGTACACACGACCAACTGTGAAGATCTTGAATCTGCTTTGATCGCTGAACGAATCAGGTGCAGAAAGGTATTCACAACGGTGCACTGCTCAGCAGAGTCTCAATGCGTTGCTTGTGACAGATGTGGGGTCGGTGTCTGAGTGCTTTGCCTTGTCGTTGCTTCCAGGCAAGGCTTTTCAAAACATGTTTCCTTTGCCGTTGTACCCCAAAGTCCTTTAGAAGCCCCAGGAAAGCGAGCAAAAGAAGAGGGCTGGTTCCCAGATTGGGCGTGAATCTTGGTCCTGGCGCTGTGAGCTGGCAAAATGCAGAAAGATTGCCGGATTCCACTCCGTATCAGGGGGCTTCCCTACCACGACTCAGGCCGTCAAGCCCATCTCGAAGACTGACTGGTACCAGCACTGCTTGGAGGTGGGAGTTCTTGCCTGAACGCTGGCCTCCACGAGTCACTCCCAAACTTCTGATGGCGCATCCATGCGCATCCCGTGCGTGAGAGTATGGCCATTGTCTGGCGGACGGAAACTCTTCAGGATAGTCTGGAGCTGCAGAACCTCAGCGAAAGTGACAAGAAGTACGATTGGGAGAACACGCCGCAGTGGGGAAATCCGAGATCCTCGGTGGACTGCCGGGCTCACAAAAACACATGCAGAAGCCGCTGTCTGTGTCACAGGTTCACAGCCGGGCTCAGGAAATGAAGTAGCAGCTGCAGATTGAAAGATGGTCTCCTGTGTTGGCAGGACCTCGTCGATGTTTTCGTCGACGTGTTTGCTGTCCAATCAGGTAGACTCAGGCGGATGAAGTGTCGTGGGTTCGGCTGCTGTTGGAGTTTGACTCTGACGATCTGCTGTCTCAACAGAAAGAACACCCACTGCTTGCCGGATGGAACGCACCTGGGAGTGTTGCTTGATGCTATGTTTAACGATTCCAAGCAAGGGCTGAGCCAGCAACAGAGACCAGTCCCCGCAGATTCACGAGAGACAAGAGCAGCCGTGTGTGATATGATGATGACAAGCTGCCCCATTTCAGATCTGCCAGATGGATTAATTCCCAAGACAACATCGTCTGAACCATGAATCTGTGTCCGTTCGCAACATCGGCTTGCCTTCAGTTCGAAGGGGAAGGGAGCATAGCGTATCTCAATTCTCCAATGCCAACATGTCTCGCAACCATCCCGGCGCTTGAGTTTGGGTCTGCCAATGAAGTGTCGCTAGAGCTCGCAAGTACAAGCACTCCTTCGTGCCTTCGTGCGTGCAATTGCACAGACGTGGGTGCACAGTGCACAGGTGGGATGGACTCTTCCACACAGGCCGAAGCCTACTCAACCAGCGCCGCTGATGCATATCTTGCGGGTCAGAGGATGTACCAGATTCTGTACCGAAAGCTGCTGTGGCTTCTGTCTGATGTTACAGTTGATCTTCGTTCATCCTGCTGTGCTGCTACCGATCTTTCAGAGTCATTCCAAGGCGCCTCTTTAGCATCACTCCGGATCTTGACAACGACGGAAAAGTCGACGGAAAGGCCATTTTAGACCTGTGACTATAGCCTGATCATGTAGAATGCCATAATTTGATGGGCAATTGGTGCATAAGGTTGCTCATTGCCACCGTACGTTTGCATGCAGGAGAAGGTGACAGATCAATTTTTCAACAAGGCCGGGACCTCACCACAAACCAAACTAGGCACGTATGACATGCTACTTGTGCGCATGGTTGCTGATGTCCTCCAAGTTTTGTCGGTGCAAGTGTGTCCAATACGCTCCATCAGCCGTCTCCAAGCCGTTTATGTAGCACGGTGTGTAATTGCAATAAAGGTAAGGCAGGGGAAAAACCTTGCCTTGTGAACATATGCAGCCAGCTCTTTACAGATGCGACACGAGAGAGCTTTCTGGAGCCAAGAGGAAGGACACTTGCAACGTGGGGCAAGGTTGGTGTCAAAAGCTGTGATGCTGCTGTGCGGAGACGGGAACGGTTCTTCTTGCCAAGGAGGACTGAATTACGAGTTTCCGCTCGTGCACAGCGCGGGAAACACTGAGGATGATACTGGGTAGGAGGTTCACAAGCAGAGAAAGAGACGAGAACGCTGAGAATCCAGGAGAACCAGTCTTCGGCGATCAGGCTGGGGATGGGTTCGGCCCAAACCCTCAGGTCCAATGAAGACCAGGAGCAGTGGACAACCCAGTTCCGGAAGCACCGCCTCTCGTTCACATGACATCTCGAAGCGGGTGTGTCTGTGTCTTGCCGGTCACCGAGTCTTCGACAGGCCAAAACGCAAATACTCTCTCCTTTGCCTTCCGTGTGTGTTTGTGCCATTTGCGACAAAGCTTGTGGCCAACCCCGAGCACGAGCCCGATCCTTGCCGACACGGTCACGGGACGGACTCCGGACTGTGCCAGATGAAGCTACCAGTTAGGATGGGAAGGCTGATCCTCTTCCTGTACCTGAGCATGTCCTTGCTGTGCATTTTTTCGGCGCAGTCATGTGTGTTATGTCATGCAGATGTGACGTGCGACGTCTGGACATCATACACCATGAACGCGAGACGACCGATCTCCAACTCATCATTCTTGGGTCTGGCTGCACCGACTAGTCTTGCGATTTCGGAGTTGTTGACGTGCACCGGTGCCTCCGTTTCGACACTTCGTGCATCGCGGGTGCAGAGTGTCTTTAGCATCAGACTGGTTTGCGCAGACGGCTGTTGCATACCATGCCAGAGGAAAGCAATGGAGACAAACCTTCAGCCTTCAGCCACCGATCCAGTGCCCAACGAGGGGTGTCAGCGTTCCCCGTCTTTCTGCTTGCGCCTGTATGTAGTCGCTGGAAGGTCATCCTTGAGTTTTCTTCAAGACCGGCATGCGCTTCAGGAAGCAACAGACCATCGGCTCATGCGCCATACAGTACATCTCTCAACCCTCCTCCTATCACAGTGTACATGAGATTTGACGTGCCATGTAATTCGGCTGTATGCTGGGCAGAGCCGCCAAAACTGCATGGTCAGAGCGGGTTGAACGGTTAAACCCTACCAAGCCTTGAGCTTCCACAGTGACTTTGTAGAAGGCTTGACTGAGCATTTGGATGATTGCGCTCGCCTTCTAGGCTGACTGGATGCTTGGACAACCGCACTTCCGTGCACCTTGTCACGCACATCGGATAGCTGCTAGCCCTTGTTCTACTTGCACGGAAAGTTCTGTCCACAATCCTGCTTAAGTGCTCACGATTGCGAGTGCTGTCTTTGAGCTTCTCGCAGTAATGTGATGTCGGTGTTGCAAGACTCGTCGAGCATTCCCTCATGTGAGTGAGTGAATGCTCCAGAGCATGTGACAAGGAAGAATGCTTTGATTGGCGGGTGGCACCAGCACTCCACTGCGACCTGGACGACAAGAACCACAGGTCGGCAATGTATCGCGAAGCTGCGAGTGCAGTCATGTGAAAGCAGGCCAACCGAGCCAGCTCGAAATTGGCTTAGTGCTGCAGCCTCATTGTGAAACTTCGGATGCCAGAACTTTGGCCTTGCAGCTGCGTGCCAAACATCATACTTATCAGAGCATGCAGATGTTTTCAGATTTGGCTCGGAAAGAAAATCCTCTCTGCTTTGTCTGCCCAGGATAAAAAGCTTGGTGAATCGCTGGCGAGGAAAACGCTGAAACAGTGGGGGACCCTTTCTTGCCATGCCATGACTGTGGATTTTTCTCCTTCGCAGGGCATTCAGGCACAACTTGACCGGCACAGAAGGCAAGAGGGGCAGCTGAGGGCAGCTGGGCTGGGCATGGGCTCTCATGGGTTCCCGGCGTGCAGCGCAGTCGGCGACCTGCAAAGGCACAGTGCACCCGATCGATGCCACGCCTTGCATCGATCCTGTCCCAGTCCGTTTATGTGATTTAAAAGTGATTTATGAGATTTATGTGTGCACGACTTGTCACAAGGCAGAACGGAGTTGGCAGATGGTGCGAGCGATGTGGCTTGAGCTGATAAGGACTTACAGAAAACGGCCCGCTCGCAGATGTTTCGGTCAGTGTCCACGGCTTACAGCTGGTGGAGAAGAGCTATGTGTCAAAGCGTGCGGGTGCTTGGCACAACAGCGAGGTCACACCTGCACGTGCCCGAAGATTTGAGGCCGAGTCCAAAAGAGGCCACCCGCTTGCCTCCGGAACCAACCTTGTTAAGGTCAGCAGCAATGTTTACATCAAGACTGGGTTGCCAGCAGCGTTGGTTCGTGCTGTTTCAGTTATGGGAACGCTGCTTCAGGATCCTGCTCTAGAAGAGAATCTCCACACCTTCGTCCGCAAAGTGGGCCATCGCATCTCTGACAAAAAGCTCGATCGCTCCTCAAGGCGATGGGAGTCGCAGGGCTGTGTTGCAGAAAGCCACGCTGAATAATCGTCTTTCTGACGCAATTCTGACGAAAGAGAGAATGCTTTTAGAAGAACATGCGTCATGAGAGCAAGGGTCCTGGCGCGCTTGCGCGTTGGAGTGCCGCAGCACTTGAAGAAGAGGGCCTTGTTCCCGGTAGAGCTTTGCGGGCAGTAGCAGGCGTTGTCTTGACAGCGAAATTGGGGGTGTGCATCGGGTGCGTGCAATCAGCGCTTATACTATACCTGCTCAGGTCAAGGAGGAGCATGCAGAGCTAAGAGACGTGGATGGTAAAACATTGAGGTCGCACCGACATGCATTTTGCTTGTGCTGAGATTGTTCCAGACTTGGGAATGCTTCTGCGTCGTCCGATCGGCCGTGAGCAGGGGCTGTGAGTCGGGGGTGAGTGGGGGCACGGACGAGTTTCGAGAGTAGGTTCGATGGTTTGGGCACATCGGTTCTTTAAAAGTAATTTGTCTTGTGAGAGTCACAGCAAGCGAGACATAGCGGAAGAAAGAGCATGCTCGAAGTGAAAGCTTGTCCTGAATGTGGACATGCGCTCGTGGAAGCTTGAGAGGCAGACAGGGACAAAACGATACCAATTACAAGGCGACCCTGCCGATGTCCTCCTTGGCTTCGGCAGAACGGCCTTTCGAAACGTAACCGACGGCAGAGGGCCAGGATCGGAAGTTTTGACCCGGAGCAGCTGAATACGATGTCCAGTCATGCAGGATGTTGCGATCGCAAGGCCCCGAAGAAGAGAGCGTGGTGCCGTTCTAGGTCCATGCCACATCGTGCCCCTTACTGAAATGCCCTGCAGCTGACTGCATCATGCCTGGTGGGCTGGGTGGCAAGAGAAAATAGCAGTCCTTGCATGTCCATGCAAAACTGATGGGCGTTGCCGGCCAGGTTCACTTTGGAATTGACCGACAATGTTACTGTCAAGAAGGACTCCAGCTGTGCGACCCTGGTGTGAGTCTAGTTCAGTATAGCTCAGCAGCCAGATTCTAGATACTGGGGCAGTGTGATGATGCATGACGTCTTCGCTGCATGTGCAGCTCCAGGCACAGGGCCTTGTGTCTGAGATCGTGGATTCCATCTATATATATATATATGTATATATATATATATGTATATATATACATATATATATATATATGCTCGGGGGT